GCCCACTGCTCCCCTCAGCAGTGTACTTCATCAGTCGGCCTGTTCTGCTCCCCACTCTGTCTCTGGTGAATCCTTTCACCACCCCTGCACCTCTGGCCTGCCCCCCAGTTCTGTATGCACAAATAAATCAATCTTTAAAACAAAAATACCTACTTACAGAATGCGAGTGAATGAGTTGTATACTTTGTAAACCTCTATTAAAAATAAGCCCACTAATGACTTAGTTCTTGAAGTCTTTTTGTTTATGCTGTGCTTGAATAAAAGAACATTTCTTTACAAATGAAAAATTCAGACTTTTAATGGTTTGACTTGCCTCAACGCACCTTTCAGTGTACTTCCTCCCAAGTTCCCCCTGCAGGATTCTAAGTGGAGCTTGGTGGTTAGGTGAGGAAGTAGGTTTTTGTCATTCTTTTGAGGCAGGAAGTAGTTGATGTTAATGAGGGTCTGGTGATCAGTGAGATGTGGTGGAAAGAAAGCGAAGGGCCTCAGAGCTGGTGTTTGACTTTGTTTTTAAATGCTTTGTGCAAGCAGAAAATATTATCCTTTTTTTTACTAGCTGATTTCATAGGTGCAAGAGTCTATTAGTTAAGCCCCACTAGAGTAACTCAAAGTAGAGAAATAGTTTTCTTTCTGGAAAAAGAAATATTGAGAAAAGCACATTTCTGAAAGTATGCCAGGGAATGGTATTTTTCTTTTTCTCATGAAAAATTCAGAGCAAGAAGGAAAATATTTTCACAAGAGAAAGCATTCATTTAGTCAAAGACAAGCCTTTTTTTCTATTCAAAGTTGAGATTTTCAGCTGAAGAAAATTGACAACTTTGCCTCCAGGCTGAATTTTATGGTTTTCACCAGCAGCAGCTGTGTTTACTGACTGGCCTAAGATGCCTCAACCAATTCAAGATAAAAGGATTAGTGTTCTCCTGCAATTATGAACTTTTTACCTTTAAAAATTATGTCAGCATTATTGCTTTTAAAGACAGAAGTTGGTACTGCTGGTAAAATAGAATGTCCATTGCTCTAAAGCTGTGGTTTTCCACCTCAATTAAATAAGTTCACCTGGAATTCAAAAACAAAAGCACCAATTTAGGGCTCTACCCCAATCCAGGCCAGTCACAAAGCGACACTCCCTCTGCTCCGACTCCTACTTATTCATTTCTTGATCACTTGCCAGGTGATTCTAACTAGCAGTCAGCTTCCTTCCTGTAGCCCCTGCCTGTGTATGCAACTGAATTCCAGCCTGGGTGGGTGTTTTGGGGCCTAAGGGTGGGACTCACTCACCCATTCTGCTCCCAGGCCAAACTGTGAAGGTTCTTCAGTGTCTCTCCCATCAGCCTTCTTTGCACCTCTCTCCCCAGGCCTGGAAACCTCCCTCTTGAAGAATTTCTCAGCTATTCTTACCCCACCTATGTTCAGTTAAATTATTAGGCTCCAAGGAAATTTTTTTCTTGCTAAAAATAATCTCACAAAGCTATAATCCTTTCTAGTGTAACATTCCTCTCCAAAGCAAAACCGAAAAGATACATACTAGGCTTCGGAACCCGGCCTGGTGCAGCTAGCGAATTGACAGAACTGGGGAAGGGCAGAGCTCGGGCTGCCATTAGGCCCCTGCAGGAAGCAACCACCTACACCAAAAGGCAGTTCTGTTGGGTGATTCTCACAGCTACTCAACTTCTCTGTGCCCAGTTTCCTCATCTATAAAACAGGGAGAAGATCATTACATTTACAGTTGTGAAGATAAAATATAGGATGCCTTACATACCTGTAGTGCAAGCAGGCACAGAAAGGTTCACTGTCGGTTGGGGCAGATGGATAAAGGGAGTCCAGAGCCCGGTGGGATTTTAATAGGCCTCTAATGCTCCCAGAGAACCAGGGAACCAGAACACAGGTACATCAGGTAGGGAGGTGGGCCTGCAAGGAGGCAGGCCCTGGCTGGCAGGGGGGCTGGGAAGCAGGCAGACAGTGGAGCCTTCCGGGCCCCCCATGAATCTGCGCCCCTTCTCTGGCCTGTTCTCAGTCTGGTGTCTCTCGCAGCTTCACCTCGCCTGTAGCTGCTTACCCTCTTCCTGCCGCCTTTTATACCGCTGCCCTTTTTAGACCACCCCCAGGTCCAGGTGTGCACACTTACACATGCGTGCACACCCATACGTCAGGTGTCTGCCATCAGGCTCATGTGCCCGGCGCCCGGGCTCCAAGCGCCTTCTGCATTAACACAATCAAGGCCGCAGGTGATGGCCACAGAGGCCAGTGGTGGAAAGTCCAGTGAACTCATTTACCGTAAGCATTGGTGCACACTAGCAGTTACTGCAATCACCATACATTAATATAATTTCAAATTATCTCTTTTATATTTGGGTGAGGAAGAGGTCTGTGTGGAGCAGGAAAAGAAACACAGACAGAAAAAGGCATGATTGATTTCCTTTCACAGTTAACACATTCTGATAGTTTGGAAAAAATCATTTGAGCTCTGGCATCCTGATCAGCATATGTGTCTAGCTCCTGTATCCCAAGGCAGTGCTTAATTTATGCCATCCATTTAGATGTATAAATTCCAAGAGCTTAAAAAAAAAATCCCCTTCTTTACTGTATAATCAACCTTGTATAGCTAAGACTCTCGGGAAAAGATGGAAATGAGTGTGAGCAACTGCCTAGCTCGAGAGAAACAAGTGCCTCCCTAATTGACTAGTTAACTCAACACATAAATTAACGGATTCAACAAACATTTAATAATAAACTCTCTGCCAGATGTTGTGCTGGGAAGCAAAGATACCACAGGGAGGGGACAGGGTTCTTGCCCTCATGTAGCTCGCAGTCCACTGAGCTTCGAGAAATGGTGTTGCCTATTTCAAGTGACAGCACAGAGCGCTGAGAACATGGTTATGCCACGCTATCTTCAGCATTGGGAGCTGCTCATCACACTTTGGGCATGTTTCTCCTTCCAAGTATCTTATTTTTCTCGAAGACTGGCTGGTCAGGGCCTCCCTGGTGGTGCAGGCATTAAAGTCTCAGTGCTATCTAGCCACTGCAGCATAAGCTGGATCCCTGGCCAGGGAGCTGACCCACATGGCGCAGCAGACCTCTCCTGTCTTGCCTGCTGCTCCCCTCAGCAGTGTATTTCAGTAAAACTAACTACTCCCCAGTCTGTCAATGGTGAATCCTCTTACCTCCTATTCCTCTGGCCCGTCAAACAATTGATACATTCCTTGCAAGAAACATAACTTTTTACTTACCACAGAAAGAATAAGAATACTTTGCACAAAGAACTGGAAGTACAAATACCCGGAGATCAGCTGGTAGTCTTCCATCACTGGAAGAAATGTGTTTATTCTAACACAGTAAGCCTTTTCTTTTCTGAGAGACTGATGTGAATGCACTGTATGTCAAATTTGGGTGATGTGTCCCTAATTTTTTTTAAAAGATTATTTATTTATGCATACAGAACTGGGGTACAGGCCAGAGGTGTAGGGGCATTGAGATGCTTCACCAGAGACAGAGTGGGGAGCAGAACAGGCAGATAGACGAAGTACACTGCTGAGGGGAGCAGTGGGTGGGTCAGGAGAGGTCTGCTGCGGCCTTGTGGGTCACCTCCGGGGCGGGGATCAAACTCATGCTGAAGTGGCTTTAGCTTCTTAGTGCTGTGCTTTAACCTGCTGCGCGACCAAGGAGAGTCCCTGTTTAAATTTATTTTTTTAAATTTATTTTTATTTATTTATGCAAACAAGAACTGGGGTACAGGTCTGTATGTTGAGGAGAGGAGGGGAGTAAGAAGATTCAGAGTGGGGAACAGAAAAGGCAGATGTACTGAAATACACTGCTGAGGAGAGCAGCAGGCAAGACAGGAGAGGTCTGCTGTGCCATGTGGGTCAGCTCCCTGGTCTTGATAGAACTCATGCTACAATGGCTGCAGATAGCTTAACAGTGTTGAGACTTAACCCCTTGGTCCATCAGGGAGTTCCCCTAATTTGTTTTCTTAATATAAATTTTCTAGAGAAGAATTCAGAATGTTTTGTTTTGAGACACTCAACTTTCGCTAAATTCTTAGAAGCTCTGGATTGCTTAAAAGTATTTTTAGATAATACTGAAAGTAAGCCTGATTTTATACAAAAGTAGTTCTTAAAGTTACCTAAAAATCTAATTTTTGAAAATGAAGCAACTTTTGGACTGAAATTTCTAAGCTCCCTTTTAGTTTTAGAGCCATAAGATACACATCATAATCCAAACAATATTTATTTTGAGCTGTAATTCACATTGACCTTCCACATTATTCCACCTTTTTTGTTGCCTCCTTGTTGTGAGATAACAAACTTGCTAACTCACAAGAAAATGACTTCAATGAGCTAGTACTGCATATAGTATTCATCTGATTTTCTTAAAAACTTATTTTTCTCCGTATCAAATCTACTCTCTCATTTGGTTTTTGAAAGATAGGATGATGATAAGTTTCAAAGATGAGCTCCACAGGTCACACTCTGGAAGGAGTTCCCTTTTTCAACTAAGCGTGACCTGGTCTATGACCCACATTAACCAAGAGGTTGTAGTGGAAGTGGAGAGAGGCAACTGTTCCATCAAGCCTTTGAGAGGACTGCCAGTTTGTTTTTGCGATTGAAAGCTCAGGGCTGATATAATAGCAACATCACTCCCCTTCTAGAGCGACCTCTTGGGGGGCTGGGTCCAGCTGACTCAGTGCCACTGTCAACTCTGCAAGATGATTCCAGGCTCAGCTGCCATTTGCGAAAGACTCCAAGAGGCCAGCAGAAGGACCAGACACCTGGCTCAGCAACTCTCGGAAAAGTGAAACAATAAAATGCTGTTGTTTAAACTCCTAAGTTTTGAGGCAGGTAGCGAGGCATCATGTTTAACAATGTGTCACATCTTTTGACACTAAGGTTCTAAATGCAAGAAAGTAAATTGGCTTCCTCAGAAGAATCACATACTTACTTGAAGGATTTAACAGGAAAGCAAGCTTTCAGTGCACCCAGTATTCAAGTTCATGAACAGCATTCTTATTCTTGATCAAAAAGCTCATCAAAAAGTGGGATTCTCTCTGTCCTGGTCCTCACCAGTGCCCGGGGTTTCCTCTCATCTTTGCCCGATGCATCTGAGTCCGAGCTAGAACTGTCCCAGAGAAGCTGTCCCCGGGTTTCTTGTTCACGGAACCACGACTCCATCTTGCCAATTTGCTGTGGACAGTAGTCATTCCTTGCTTGATGTTCCCAAAATTCTGCACTTTGTAGCTTTCCTACAAAAATTAAAAGTTGGTTTAAATAATTTTTTCTCTAACAATGGCCTTTTTTTTAAAAAAATGCTAATGATTTTATGAACACAATCATCTGCATGGTGTTCTTTTGAAATTATATAGACATAGGCATATGTATTTACATATATACTAAATATATATGTAAAAGATAAAATAAAAAAATATATATGTGTGTAAAAGGAATTCAATTGATGTCTCTGGAAGCATTAAAAATGCCCCTTTTTGCTACTTAAAAGTTTAAAATCTTCTGAAAGTTAAAAGAATAATATAGTATACAACTAGATATCTGAAGCCATCAATATCATTTTTTTTTTTAAGATTTATTTATTTATATAGAACCGGAGTACAGGCCAGAGATGCGGAGGGTGAGAAGATTCGCCAGAGACAGAGTGGGGAGTGGGGAGCAGAACAGGCAGATAGACGAAGTACACTGCTGAGGGGAGCAGCAGGCGGGTCAGGAGAGGTCTGCCGTGCCATGTGGTCACCTCTAGGGCAGGCCGGGATCGAACTCATGCTGAAGTGGCTTAAGCTTCTTAGTGCAATGCTTTAACCAGCTGCGCCACCAGGGAGGGCCCCAATATCATTTTTTAAAAAATTTATTTATTTATTTGTACAGAACTGGGGTACAGGCCAGAGATATGGAGGGTCAGAGGATTCACCAGACACAGAGTGGGAAGCAGAACAGGCAGATCGATGAAGCACACTGCTGAGGGGAGCAGCGGGTGGGTCAGGAGAGGTCTGCCACACCATGTGGATATCCTCTGAGGCAGGCAGGGATCGAACTCATGTGGAAGTGGTTTAAGCTTCTTAGTGCAGTGCTTTAACCTGCTGTGTCACCAGGGAGGGCCCATCAATATCATTTTGTCACAATGTTGATTTCATTTTACATATATATATATTATATATATTTCAGCCAAACCATTTGAAAATTAGATGCAAAGCCACTTTTTCCCTAAATACATCACACGAATCTTTTATGAAAAAGGATATTTTTTTTCTACATAACCAAATACAATGATCACTATTAGGAAATTTTAACATTGAATGAACAGTATTTTCTAGGATATCGTCCATATTCAAATATCCATGGTTTGTTCCAATAATGCTTTCTAGAGCTGCCTTTTGTTTGCCTATTTGTGTTTTGCTTTTTAGATCCAGCATCCTGTCGAGGGTCATGCTTTGCATTTATTTTCTTGTCTTTGTTTCCTTTTAGTTCAAAAAAACTCCCCTGATTTTTTCTGCCTTTCTCCTCTCTTTTCTTTTTTTTTTTTTTTTTTTTAAAGATTTATTTTATTTGTGCATACAGAACTGGGGTGCAGGCCAGAGGCTCAGGGGCAGTGAGAAGCTTCACCAGAGACAGAGTGGGGAACAGAACAGGCAGATCGATGAAGTACACTGCTGAGGGGAGCAGCGGGCTGGTCAGGAGAGGTCTGCTGTGCCATGTGGTCACCTCCGGGGCAGGCGGGAATCGAACTCATGCGGAAGTGGCTTTAGATTCTCAGTGCTGTGCTTTAACCCGCTGCGCCACCAGGGAGGGCCTCTCCGCTCTTTTCAATGCCTCCTTTCTTCTTCCTCCTCCCCCTCTTCTTCTATCTTCCTTATCTTCTTTTATCCTAACACTCACATTTTAGAATCCAGGTCATTGTGCACAGGTGATGTTGCCTAGTACTATTTATTGAACAACTACCATGAAATAGGAACATGCTATGAACTGTACTTGCTTTCACATCAACGCTCATGTCACATCAAAATCACCTAGTGAATCTTTTAGAAACAGATGTCTGGACACAGCCTTTATCTACAAAACTGGGAAGTCCAGTAAGTCAGGCATTTTGTTTTACCTTTTTTTTTTTTTTTTTAGAAGAGATTGAATCTTTTTCTTTCTTTCTTTCTTTTTCTTTTTTTTTTTTTTTTGGCATGTGGTTTTATGTGTATATCTTGAGTTTATTATGTATGCAATACCAAGTGCCCTTTTAGAATGTACTTAGGAGCAAAAAGGGACTCTCTGCAAGGAAGGCTGACTTTTAAGAAAACAAAATCTTAATAACCTCTTCTGAGTTAGGAAAAGTCACTCCCGGCCAAAATCCAGTTTTACCTCAGTCTAGCTGAATCAGCGGTAGCTTGCTGTAGCTTCAGTTGTATGGTACCACACCACATCCACCACCAAAACACCCATAATTCTCTATCCATTGAGGTCCCTCTCTCAAATATTATGGTCCATTTTTACTCAGCATGATATCTGAAGTTGCATATTATTAGCCAAGAAAATAAAGTATTTCAACATGACAATTTATGTCCTGTGATGCATTTCTGTTTCAGTGAGGGGCCACCCTCTCTCCCCTCAAAAATAATTATCAATATATTGAGTATCTTTGTCTATTGACACAGTAACAGAAAACTATGGCTAATTTTTATTCTGCACTCCTAATCTGCCTCCTGACCTACCATGTCCCTTTTAGACAACTGTACTCCTCCACTTTGATGTCTCTTGGGCATGTATCAGACTAAATTCTTCCTCTTGAAAACCCATCTCTCCTCCTAGGAACCCTAACCTAGCAAAATGGCCCTACCTTTGCCCCACTGTCTGCCTAGTTCTTCAAAAGAAGTCCAACAATCCCCTTGTTCTTCTCACTTTCTTATGCAACCAGGTAAGAACCATCACTAATTTCTCCCAATTCTCTCTCCTAATATCTCTTATCTGCCTCCTTGTTTTTGATCTCCTTGTCACCACACTCTCCTGGTCACAACACCAGCTCTTACTTGTGCTATTGTTATGTCCTTATAATTTTCCCAGGCTCAGTTTCTTCCCATCCATTCTCCACTGTTAGAGTGATGTTTAAAAATGTAAAGCTCTTATGCTAAGAGAAATAAGACAAAGAAAGGCACATGCTGTATGATCTCGCTCACATGTGGAATCTAAAAATTCAAACTTAATATTATATATATATACATCTTAACAGCAAAAAACAAACCAGAAAATCAAGTTTACATGTACAGAGAACAACAGATTGATGATTGCCAGAGGTGTGGTGCAGTGAGTGACATAGGTGAAAAGGGTCAAAAGCACAAACTTCCGGTTATAAAATAAGTAAATTGTGGGGATGTAATATACAGCATGATGTCTATAGCTATCAATGCTCTGTTGCAATTTTGGAAGTTGCTAACAGAATACATCTTAAAAGACCTCAACACATAAAAAATTCTAACTATATATGGTAATGACTTATTGTGGCGATTCATTTGCTACATAAATTGAGTCATTACATTAGGCTCCTGAAACTAATATTCATCCATCATACCTCAATAGAAGAAGAATGGAAAAAGATATATAATTACATGTCTATTTACATACATTTTATCATACCCATATGCAAGTATTACATTTTATAATTACTTACTCCCCCCAAATTTAAAAAAATATAAATGTGATGGTGTTTCTTCCTTGCTCTTTCATAGCTCCCCACTGGTCACAAGCTAGAGTTTTAAGTCCTTAGTGGACATCTCCAGCACCCTCTCTTGTCCACCCAGAGTCTTTGAGGTTCCACCCTACTCTTGCACACACTGTCATCAAGTAACAGTTTGGAATGTTCAGCACCCCGGTCCTGACACTCACATGTAGTCCTGCCCCTTCATCCACTTCCTGTCTGAGTTTAAATGTCACTTACTCAAGAAAAGCTTCTAGTTGCTCGGATTATGAATTCTCCCAGGTACCCCTAATTGAATTTTGTTTTTGTCCCTACTATTACCTGAACTCCAAAGCTAGAAACCACAACTAGCTGGCCTAGGAATCCTCTGTTGCATAAGTAAAGATATGAATGTGAACCATCAGAAAAATCTGAGGAGGCAGAAGTATTGGCAATTTGGACTTGGAAAGGCTTCACCAACAGAAAGGGGTCTCAGTCATCTCTGCTCTGCGAGTGAGCCAAGACCTACTAGAGACATCACTCAGGCTAAGAACAGGAATTTTTGCTGACAGGAGTTTTGAAACAGGAAAATGTTTGTTAATGGTAGGATGTAATATAATATTAACAATAGCTTAAGTTGCAGAACACTCTAAAGTTAGTGTGTGAAATAAAATTCACATGTTCAGATTTATCCTTGGAAATCCCTTAAGTCATTCTTAAAATACTATATATAAGTTCTGTATACACAGCATTAAAGCTTGATAACTTCTGAGCTACAGGTCTTACTACTTTTTTATAAATCCCTGTTTGGTTCTCTCTGGTTACTAGACTTTAAAAGAGAAAGAAAGAAGATGACTGGATTAAAAAGAGGTGGTACATATATACAATGGAATATTACTCAGCAACCAAAAAAGAGAAACACATGTCTTTTGCAGCA